CCGCGGAGAGAACTTCCCTGGTTCGTAGTCAAAAATGCTGCCAGGCTCGGCGGTAGCAACGGTGGCACCCCAGCGGGTCCTGTGGAGGACGGGAGGGGTTCAGCCACGGCCGCCCCCACCCCGTGGGCACCCACGACGCCGTGCCAGGCTCACCAGTCCATCCCGTTGTGCATTCCGGGGGGCTCAGCTGGGGCCGAGCCCCTCCTCCGCGGCTTGGGGGGCGATGGGGGCGCCGTGGTGGGGCAGGAATGGGTGTCCCAGTCGGGCTCTGAGGAGGGGGGAGGTGAGCGGGTGCCGAGCCGTGCCCGCTCCGTGCCACGCCCGCACAGCTGGGCTCACCTGGCAGCTTGCGGTGGATCTGCCGGAACATGCTGCGGTACCAGTCCCGCGGGCTGTCCACGCTCTAGGGGGACACATTGGAGTGGTGAGGGGGTGACAGCGGGGTGACACCCCCGCCCTGTGCCCCCACTCACCGAGCGTGAGGTGGGGTGGGCGGGCACCTGGGGGCTGGGGGCTTTCATCTCCTTGGCCGGCCAGGTCTGGTACCAGTCATTCACTGGGAACAAGGTGAGCGTGGCGTGGTGAGGGGGTGACAGCGGGGTGACACCCCCGCCCTGTGCCCCCACTCACCGAGCGTGAGGCCAGGGGCATCCCCGTCTCGTCCACGGGCCCGATGCCATCGTACTTCACCCAGCGCCTCTCCCGCCGCTTGCTGTCCTTGGTCCAGGTTGCCGACCAGCCCGGGGGCCGGGGGCAGGCGGGGACAGCCCTGCAGGTGAGCGTGGCTCAGGTGGGCACAGCTCGGGGCAGCCCCCAGGGGTGTCCCCAGGCTGCTCAGGGCTCTCTGTACCTGAGCTCTTGGGTGCTCCCTGGCTGTTCTCGGCGGTGCCGCGGCTCTCGGGGTCATGGAAGTGGAAGTTGAGGGTGTTGGAGCCGCGGTGGCGGATGACGGGCACCTGTGGCACAGGGAGGGGCTGGCACAAAGGATTGGGGGCGCCCCCGAATCCCCCAGCATGTGCCAGCCCCCAGCCCCACTCACCCGTGTCACCGTGTGCTGCGGGGACACCTGCAGAGGGGGGTGGAGGCGGGGAACATCCTCCACACCCAGAGCCGCGCTGCTGTCGGGGGGCAGGAGCCGGCCCGCCATGGCCGGGGGGGCGGGATGGTGCCCGTGCCCTGTGGGAAAAGCAGCTGTGCTCACGGGGCAGCCCGTGGCCCTGTTTTTTGGGCATTCCCGGGCTTTGCCAGAGAGATGGAGGCTCGGAGGAGCCCCAGCCCCACCGCTGGGAGCATCCCCTGTTATTACAGGGGACACCACGTGTGGGGTGACAACCGCGGGGGCAGCGTCCCCAGCTCAGGGAGCCTCGCGGTGCCAGGGGAAGGAGCTGTTCCTGTTCAGAACCAGCCCTGGCACGGGTCCCCACCTCCTTCTCCATGCGGAGCCAGACCACCCGCCCCTCTCCCGGCCCCGGCTCCCGAGGGATGGATCCAGCCCGCCGGGCTCTCCGGGAAGAACACGCCCGGAGCGGGCCGGGGCGCTGGCTGTGCCGCGTTCCCACCGGCCCGGCATCCCGGCGCGCTGCCCTCCGCCCGGGCACGTGGCGGCAGCAGCGTCGCCCGCCCGGGAGCGCTGCCAGCGCCGGGAACACGACAGGGCAGAAATATTTCCCCGCCCTGCAGCGCAAACAGGGAGGGAGAGGGGACGGAGGGACGAGGAGCCGGGAACGCGCGGCCGAGCCCGGCACCGCCCGCCGGGAGGGCGATGCTGTGACTCACCGCGGACCGGGCGGGGGGCAGCTGGGGGGGACGGGACCCCCGGAGCACTTCCCGACACCGGGATGGCTCCGGGGGCGAGGGCAGCACGGGGGCCTCTGGGGGACACCTGTGCCCTGGCGGGTCCCTCACGTCGCCGTCCCCACCCCGGCAGCGGCGCTCGCAGGTGCCAGACCCCGCCTCAAACGGGGCGTCCTGGGGGGGCTGCCGGGGGTGCCAACCCGACACAGAGCCCTCTGTGTGTGTGTGGGACCCCCAAATCGGGCCGGTGACCCCTCGGCTCCCTGTTTCCCACACCGCTGGAGGCTCGGTAGCCCCAAGGCCGTAATTAATGTTAATCACCCCCGCAGGGAAACTGATGTGCCCCGGGGCACAGAAAGTAGGGTGCAGGCACCATCCCCCCAGGGCACCCCAAAAATCTCCACGCCATTCCCAGTGCAGCGCCCACACAGGGCTCGGCCCCATCCTTCTCCTCCTTTGGAGTGTCCCCCAAAACCTGTCCCCGGGGGTCCCCTCGGAGCCCCCCCTCCTCGCCGGCCCCCCCAGCCAGCTCTTACCTCCTGGGCGGTGCCACCGGGGGCCCCCGGGACTCACCGGGGTTTTGGGGAGCCCCGGGGCGAGCGGGACGGAGCTGCGAGCGGCAGGGAGGAAAAATCCACGGCACGAACTTTGCCGGGAGAAGGAGCGGGGGGGCCTCAGCGCACCGTGGGGGTCTGGGAGGGGGAACCCCCCAGGAGCATCCCCCGGGAGGGTCGGGAGGCACCGTCCTGCCCGGCGCTGGGTCCCCGTGTGCCCCGGCCCCCCCGGGGTGCGCTGCCCCCCCAGCGCTCCCCGCTCTGGAGCGGGGCCGGCCCATTCAGAGTTTCCAGTGACATTTCCAGGGATGGGATCCAGGGAATGGAGCCAGGAGGCTGAACTCATCCCACGCCCCGCGCACGCGTTCCCGAGCACCCGGCCCCCGCTTACGAAACGGGGCGAGCCCGGCGTCGCCGGCCCCCTGGCGCGGTGGAGACGGGGACTCGGGGGGGACTTTCGGGAAAGGATGGGGAGGGAAGTGCCGGGTGGAGGTCGGGACTGAGGGGAGGAGAGGGGTCTGTGCTCCTCTGGACCTCCGAGTGCAGGGATGGGGGCATGGGGAGAGCAGAGCCCCCATCCCCACTGCTGCCCACTTTCCCACGGGTAACCCTCCATCCCCTCCATCCCTCCATTTCCTCCATCTCCTGCATTCCTCCATCCCTTCCATCCCTTCAATCTCTCCATCCCCCAGGGATTTGGACACTGGGGACCCCCATGTAAGACCCGTGTGCCCTGCCTGTGACCCACTTCACCCTCTCCAGTTCCCCATCCGATGGAGAAGGGGATTTAGGGGGGATTTTTGGAAGAGGATGAGGAGGGAAATGCTGAGAGGTGAGGTGCGAAGTGGGGTCTGTGCTCCTGCGCCCACCCAAGCCCTGGTGTGGGGCACAGTCAGAGCAGAGCCCCATCCCCACTGCACCCCTCCATCCCCTCCACCCGCCCATCCCTAAGGAATCCGGGCAGGGGTCCCCCAGGGAACACCCCCCTGCCCTGCTCTGCCCCGTGTCCCCCCTCGGGCAGCGCCCGCACCCACCACTCACCCGCCGGCCGCTTCCTGCTCCCCTAAACTGCTGACACCCCCAAAACGGGGCTGCCCCAGCCCTTCCTCATCCCGTGAGCTCCCACGTGAGCTGCCGGGGGGATGGTGGCTTCGCTGCCACCCCTCGGTCCCCACCGAGCCACCGCCCCCTGCTGCTGGGGACGAGGGGGACGGTGGCAGGAGCCCTGGCTGGCTGCGCCCGGGGACACCGGGGACACCGGGGACGCAGGGGACAGGGTGTCCTCCCCCCGCCACGGCCCTGAGGGACGCAGCTCCCACCCCGGCGCCGTGGGAATGAGGCAGCTCCTTGGTGCCAGCTGGGGACACCGTGGCGAGGACACAGGCTGGGGACAGGGGCTGATCCTGCTGGAAAATCCCGGGGTGACAAGGGCAGGGATGGCAGCAGGGCCGGGGAGGGTTAAACCCAGCGAGGGGACCCCGACCCCATCCCTGCTGCCAAGGGGTGACCAACCATCCCCTCCAGGTCCCCCGCAGCTCCCCTCCAGCCCACCAAGCGACACCTCTCGATGTCGCAGCCCCCACTGGCGATGCGAGGAGCAGCCCCCTTCACCCCAGCCCCCGTCGGGGTGCCAACACCCCCTGCCCAGACCCCCGCTCACCTCCTGGTCCGCACGCACCGTCCCCGTGCCCGGCGCGGAGCCTCCAGCGCCGGCCCTGCCTCGGTCCCTCCCTCCCCGCGGCTCCCAGCACCAGCCTCCGCTCACAGATAAATATTTAACGCGCAGCCCGGGCCGGGATTAACAAAGGGCGAGTGTTTCCTGTTTGCTCAGCGCGGCGATGCCAGCCGGGAATGTGCGGCCGGCCCCGGGGATGCTCCCGGGGATGCTCCCGGGATGTGCCGGGAGCCCCCCGGTGCCGAGCGCGGGGTGTGGAGCGATGCCGGGGCTTGGGGGCTCCCCAGTTTGGGTGGGAACACCCAGGAAAAGGGTGGGAGAGCCGGAGCGTCCTGCCCGGGGCGTGCCCCGGGTGCATCCGGCGGCTGGGAGCGGGGATGCTGCGGGGAGGAGCAGGTGGGAAACAGGAGCACGTGCTGAGCCGAGCTCGAGGCGGGCGCTGAATTCCCGAAGGAATTCCTGCTGCCATGGGGAGGACGGCCCGGAGTCCTCCAGAGCTCATCCTCGATATTTGGCTGCCACTTGGGAAGAGGGGATGGATCCCAGGTGTGGAAGCCACAGCAGCTTCCCGGGAATGATGCAGGAGGGGGTCCCTGGGCAGGATCCATGGAACTGTGACCGTCTGGATCCACCCGGATGGATCCCGACCACCCCAGGGCTGCTCCCTGAATCCTCCCTGTGGAGGGAATACCCCCAAAAGTGACAAGGAAGGAGCCGGGGTGGAACAAGAGCTGGCACATCCCGTCCTGTCCCTGCTGGCACGGCGTTATTTACCCAGGGAAGGCCGAGGAGCGGGAGCCGAGAGCTCTCCAGATCCAGCCGGGAGCCGCCGCTCCGCGTGTGCCGACGTGCCGGGGGCTGGGAGCCGCCTCTGGGCACTGCCCCAGCCCTGGAGAGGCTCTAAAACCCCCCAAGTCCTCCCTTCTGGCAGCACAGGAACCCCCCTCAGCCACCCAAAAAATCACAGTGGAGCGCAGTGACTGTGTCAATTTTTAACTTTTTTTTTCTTTTTTTTTTCCTCCTTAAAGATGACTCCGATTTTACATCGAGACAGTTCTAACAAATTCATTCCTTGTTTCACAAAAAAAAAAAAAAGAAATTATATTAAATAATTTCTGCCAATAAATAACATTTTCACCATTTTTTTTTCTCCTTTCAACAGAACTAAAAAAAAAAAAAAAAAGCAAGAAATAAAAATAAAAATTAAAAAGGAGGCAGTCTCCAGGCAACGGGCGTATGATCCTTCAGCATCGAGAACCCTAAAATCACCATCACTGCACCCCTGGAGGGCTTCAGGTCCTCCCTGGCCGAGGTTTGGTGGGATCTGCATCCCGGCCAGCTCCCCTGGCCAGGTGGGATCTGTGCCAGAGGCAGCCAGAGGGGTTCTCCCAATCCCAAAAAGAAAATTAAGCTTGAACTCAACCCACCACCCGCCCCATTGCCGACTCCCCTCCTTGGACATGCACCTTGCTAGAACATGCAAAAAAACCCAGGCTGCAGGGAGGTGGGGGCTTTCCCTGGATTTGGGGGCTCCCTCGGGTCGGGGGGGCTCCCCCGGGGCCCGTGGGCTCCCCTCAATCCCGGTTGTCCAAGCTCCAGGTGGCAGCCGGGGAGGGGAAGGGACGGGCGGGAGCTCGGAGAGGAGGGGTCAGAGACAAGCCCAGCTCCGAGGCGCTGGATTTGTGGGGGAAAAGGAGGAAAAGGGGGAATTTGGGGGCGTCTCTGGATTGTTTTTTTTTGGTTTGCCGTGGTGGGGATCGGGGCAGGGAATTCTGCTCCGAAGTTGTCCCCAAAAAAGGGGAGGGGGGATCTCGGCTGGGGGCTGTGCAGGGGAAGCCCGGCAGGGAGGGGGGCGTTAATTGAGGGGGTAATTAGCACCCAGAGCCCCATCGCTGCTCCTCACCCCCTCGGGAACTGCTTCAAAGGGAAGAGGGGACCTGGCAGTGTGACATCCACACGTGCTGGTGCCACAGGGACATGGGGGCAACTTCCAGCCCTTGGCCACCATCTCCGGGGCTGGGATGGTGCAGCTCCACCAGCCCCAGGGATAAGGGGGGACAAAATCCCACCCCTTGGCCAGCTTCTCCAGGACAACCAACACCCAGCCCTTTTCCAGGGCTGGGACACTGGGAAGCTGCAGTTCCAGCAGCCCCAAGGATTAGGGGGTTGGATCTGAGCTCCCAAACCATGAAGCACAAGGTCCAAAAAGGATTCTGGGGAGGGGGAATTGGTGATGCCAGAGCAGAAGAAGAGGGTGGGGGGACAAACTGCCAGCAAAGCAAATCCCCCTCTGTGATGGGCCGGGCCCTGCTGACCCCCCCACGCTGGGAACAGGGGGGTGCCAGGCTCGGGGTCCCGCAATTCCCATCCCAAATATCCCGACTAAAACCTGGCTGCTTGGGTGAGATCCCAGCCTGGGTCAGCACAACACGCCCGAACATGCACGGGCAGCCCCGGGCACGGTCTGTGTGCCCGGGTACCACACACGGGCTCACCGCGCTCACAGGAGGCCCTGAAAGGACAAAGAAATACTCACAGACAAAAGGCAATTTGGCCCCACTCCTCGGACTGGGGGGAGAGAAGCTCGCTCCAAACATCTCGCACTTTTGCAAAGCGGTGGGCGTGGAAAAAAAATGGGATCAAAGGGGGGAAAAAAAAACAACCAAAAAGAAAAGAGGAAAAAAAAAAAGAGAAAAAAAAGAGGGGAAAGTGGAGGCATGTGACTGAAAAGTGTGGAAACCCAGCGGTCTGCTCACAGAATCCTAAACAGCCCCGTGGGATTAGGTGACGTGTGAGCCTAAGACAATTTGAAAGCTTCCTGGGAAGTTGCTGTTTTCCTCTGGAGCTGGAATCGCCGAGGCAAGACAGCAAGATCCAGGGAAAGCCTTGGCAAAGATCCCCTGGGAGAGGCTCAGCCCTGCCTGCAGAGAGCACGGGAGAAGGGGGAAAGGGAAGGCTGGAGAGGGGTGCTGCAGGAGCTGCTGCCTCGGCTCCAGGCAATGCACACGGCTGGGAAGGGAAGGGACCAACGGGAATCCCACAAAACCCTTCCCCAGCACTCCCAGTTTAAGTGGAAGAATGCTCAGTGACAGAATGCTCAGCTCCTACTCCAAAATCCCTGACAACACCCAGGGGGTGTCCCCTGGGAACCCCCAGGATCCCTGTCCAGAACCCCCAGGATCCCTGGGAAGCCCCAGGATCCCTGTCCAGAACCCCCAGGATCCCTGTCCAGAACACCCTGCCAAAATTCCTGCCAGACCCACTCGGTTCTGCCTTCCAAGCCCTCCCTGCTTCCCCATCCAGGGCTGCCCTGTCACCAGCACTGAGCCACATCTCCCAAAACCAGCAGTGCCCCACCCATCTTATCCCAAAGTTTTATCAGCAACCCCCTGCTCCAGCTGCTGGGAAAGGCTGAGCTGCCCACGGCTCCGTGGAACAGCCAAGGGTGGGTGATGGCCAAAGCCACACACCCGCTGGGGGACACTGAGGTGACACTGGGGGGGACCACCCTGTCCCCCACACCCCAAACTGCTCAGCAGGGGCTGACTCCAGAGCTGGGAGCAGGGAATGTGCCGTGGGCTGGGCACTGTGGCGGTGGGGGAATGGGGGAGCTGCATCCTCCAGGGTGTAAATCACCTCCTTCTCCTTTAAAACTCAGGCCCTGCAGCTTTCCCAAGGATCATCAAAGCAGAGATAATTCCTCTGCTCTGAATCAGAGGGATTCCCAAGGGAATTCTGCTGCACAAACTGCTCCAAGAAGAGCCACAACACGGGGCAGCACTTCCCCCACCTTCTCCCTATTTTCCTTTGGGACTCCCCTGGGATAAAACTGAAATCCTGAAGGAAAAGGTGCTGTGATTGGTGTTAACAACCCTGGAGCCCTTCAGAGCTACCCCTGGCTGTCACCTTGGAAAAGAGGGATGGATCCCAGCAATCTGCCTTCCAGGGAATTGGTTGCTAAAGCAGCAGCTGCAGGTAGGCAAGAGGTGGAAGAAAACAACAGGAAAAATCTGGGAAGAAAACAGGTGTGTAAAGGAAAACCAACCCAACCGTATCCTGAAGGGAAGGACCTGCTTTGGAAAGCTCAGGCTAACTCCAAATTGTGCCAAAGCCAACGACCCAAGTTGCCTGGTTTGACTGATTTTTGTTTTTTAATCCAACCCCTCCCTGGCAGAGGTTTGGCCTCTTGGCGGGGGCAGCTGGACAGCACAACACTCCTGGGATGCTCTAGCAGTTGGATTGGTTTTTAAACCAAAAAAAAAAAAAAAAAAAAAAAAAAAAAAGGACATTTTTATATATATTGAACTTAAATAAAAAAAAAAATTACAAAATGGTCGCTTTCTTACAGAACGGATGCGGACTGGATTTATGGACGTGCCTCCAGGTGAAGTTGGTTTCTCCCCCTGCCCCCACCCCACCCCGATAATAAATAAATAAAATTCATGAAGTTTTGGATCCTCTGGCGCTGCAGCCCCGGGCGCTGGCAGCGTTACTGGGGTTTCTTGCCCGTGCCGTTCTTGTCCGCAGAGTTCGAGGTTACCAAGTTCACGGGGCCGTCCGAGTGCAGCGAATCCTTGCGCGGCGGCATCCGCTCGTTGATGCGGTCCAGCCCCCGCGCCTCCTCGAAGCTGCGGATCTTGTGCTGCGGGGAGAAGCCCCGGATGGCTGCGGAGGGAAGGGAGCACAGGGAGGAGCCGTCAGCAGGAGCCGCGCGTTTCTCCCCGAGGAGCCCTCCAGCACACGCCAGACACCAACGGGGACAAGTGGAGGGGACAGAAAGCACCTGGCTGGATTTGGGAATGATTTGGGGAGGTTTTGGTGTTTGGGAGCAGCTGGCAGCGAAGTTTAGGATTTGCTCTGCTCCCTAAGAGGAGGATCATCTTTTTAGGGAGGTTTGGGATTTGCTCTGCTTCCTAAGAGGAGGTTCTTCTTTTTAGGGAGGTTTGGGATTTGCTCTGCTCCCTAAGAGGAGGTTCTTCTTTTTAGGGAGGTTTAGGATTTGCCCTGCTTTCTAAGAGGTTTAGGATTTGCCCTGCTCCCCAAGTCCCTAAAAGGAGGTTCTTCTTTTTAGAGAGGTTTAGGATTTGCTCTGCTCCCTAAGAGGAGGTTCTTCTTTTTAGAGAAGTTTAGGATTTGCTCTGCTCCCCAAGTCCCTAAAAGGACGTTCTTCTATTTAGAGAGGTTTAGGATTTGCTCTGCTCCCTAAGAGGAGGTTCTTCTTTTTAGGGACATTTAGGATTTGCTCTGCTCCCTAAGAGGAGGTTCTTCTTTTTAGGGACATTTAGGATTTGCTCTGCTCCCTAAGAGGAGGTTCTATTTTTTTAGGGAGGTTTAGGATTTGCTCTGCTCCCTAAGAGCTTTTCATGGAAGCAAGCAATGGTTTGGATTGGGAGATTAAAATCATCCAGTTCCACAATCCCAGGTTCAACCTTGGACACTTCCAGGGATGGGGCAGCCACAGGTTTTCTGGAAATTCCATCCCACTACCCTCAGAGGAAGAATTTCCTCCCAATATCCCAAACCTCCCCCTCTTTTAATAGAATAGGAAGAACTTGATAAACCAGACAAGTGCTTGCTGTCCCCAGAGAGTGAAATCTCAGGAAAATTTCAAAGCTGAAAAACACGACACTAAAAAATAACAATTAAAAAGAAAATAAAAATTAAAAAAAAAAAGGCAAAACCCAGAACGACAGAACAAAGACACCACCACAAGGCTCTGAACTCTGACACAAACCACACACTGCAACACCAGGAGAGGGAACAGCTAGTCCTTGGATCACAAAGGCAAAATTCTTGCATGACCAGGAGACACACGGGCAGATTTGGGAGGGATGAATCCCACTGAGGAATTTCATGTCCCTGTTCCGTCACCCTCGCCCTGATGACACGGACCAAATGTGAAACTCCTTTGTGCTACGGAGAATTTAAGGAAAAGGAGCCCGTGCCAAATCTTTTACAAGGACTTGGCTGGCTCACAAACAACTTCCCTTGGTAAGCAAAGCCTCTGTAGAGCTGCGTAGCCCCGCTCGGCATCGAGGAAAAATCCTCATGGATCTGTCATTCCTACACCCTACAGGCAGAGAATTGCCTCTCCACCTCGGCCTACCTGTGGGGAAGGCAGGGATTACACCAGCACCACAAAATCCTGTTTTCTAAGGGTTTTGATGGTGCTGGCAGATTGCAGGACCTCAACCCCAAGGTCTCGAGCCGCCGCAGCAGGAACCACTTTGGCAACTCCAAATAAAGGTGTTCCACTAAGGAATAAACTGTTCAAGCTGAAACAGCCTTGAACCAAACCCCTGGGTATTTTTTCCTTCCCAGCAGGGCCTCGTCCTCCCCCACTTCTGGTGATGCAAGAGTAAAAAGCTTCCGTTAAGGGCTGGTAAAGCTCTTTAAAATGAGCGCACGCACACACGGAGATGATTTGAGTCTCTCGCCGGGTTCTAGCCATACCTTCCCGTGCCTCTACCGCTTCTACTGTGGCTGCAATACAGAAGAACAGTGGCATGCAGAAATGAAGACAGGGAAAAAAAAAACAAAACAAAACAAATAAAACAAAAAACAGGAAAAAAAAAAAAGGAAACAAAAACAGAGTGACAGTGAGTGATCCGACATCATGGCTGCGACGCAGAGCCCGCGGCCCCCCAGCCCCGGTGGTGCCAAACGAGTGGCAAGAGGGGAGAAAAAGGTGACAGGAGGTGGAGAGGAAGGGGGGAAGGGGACTCCCAAGGGCTCAGGGGGAGTCTCCTTTCCTCTGGATTGATCTGATGGAAGAACAGAGGAGCAGAGAGTGGGGGCTTCCTGCTGTGTGCACTGGACAGGACAAGCTCGGACTAAGCTGTGGATCTGATCCCAGCTGGGTGGCTCCAGGCCACCTCCAGATGATCTGTTATGTGGAATTCACCCTCCACACACTGAAGGGATCCCAGGGGACACTTTGGAGCAGTGGGAAGGAGAGGGGCAGCCTGCTTTCCAGGGAAGGACAAGCAGCAGGTACTGGGCTGCTCTGCTCCTGGTGCCTTGAGTTGTAACAGAAAATCAGGCTCCAAATCCAGTTTGGCTTCAGCTCCACCTCCTGAAAGTGTTACCAAGCAACGAGGCACCACAGAGCTGAGCAATGTCCCCCTTCCTAAATCTGCTGCAGCAACATCCAAGGTCTGGTAGGCCCTGCCTCAACATCTGGAAGGAGGCCCTTCCCTTGAGCAGATTCTCTGGATTTTAGCCTCAAAACTGCAGCTTTTTTCACTTTGGACACGATACAGAGGCCACGTGGTCCTCGGGAGGCCACGGAGGAAGGATGGAGCTGTGGCTGCACAGCTCTGCCCCAGATTCCGTGACTTTGTTCAGTTGATTTTGCCAAGCCCTGCTGTGAAAGGCTGGGGAGAGGCTCAGGAGGGCAGTGCCCCCCCACACTGCAGCCCTGTTTCCCTTTTTTGAGGTGCACAGGCACCCCAAAAGGGGGGCAGCCCCCCCTCCTCCTCACCCAACAGACGAGGCTCCCATAAATTCACCGGGAGTGTGAAGGGATGTGAGAAACGGGAAAGGGTGGGAGGATGGGGAAAACGGGGAGGGAAAGGGGTCAGGACAGGGAAAGGGGGGTGGAGAAGGGGGAAGGACAGGGAAAGGAGAGTGGGAGAAGGAGGAAGGACAAGGAAAGGGGGGTGAGGAGGCCAGGAGAAGCTGGGAGATGCCAGGGAGCGGGGGGAGCCTGCAGGCGGCGGGCGGGGCGGGTAAGGCAGCAGCAAAGGCCCAGCTTGTTTGTTCTGTCCTGGGAGAGGCTTATTTTGGGGGAGGGGAGATCCCTGGTACCCCTGAGAGAACCCCCTGAGAGGGGAAGGTGCTGGAGAACGTCACAGCACGACCTGTGCTGTCGGGATACAGGGACAGAGCTGCTGCAACAGCCACCTTCCCACTCAGGCTCTGTTCCCAGAACTGGGGCGATGGGGCTGTGATGGTTTCTATAAAAAAAGGGAAAAAATATCCATCCTCCTCTGTGGGCAGAGAAATCCGTGAGCTTGGGAGGGATGCTGCATCCTCCCTGGGAGCAGGCAGTGATATTTCCACGTTTCTGACTCGTGAACTGTTTAATCCAGGCAAACCCCAGCCCCAGCCTGGGGAGAGCTGCAGGAAATCCCCGGTGCCCATGGGAAGGGGGAAGCTGGGGAGGTGCCAGGCTTCAAAGGCCGATGGCAGGGGAGGATTAACACGCTGGATTACAGGATTCCCCCTGGGATAGCTCATTCCCTGAGCACCAGCCAACATCCTTGCCCTGGGTGTGGGAAGGATTGGATCCTTTGCTCCGTGCTGCTCCCTGAGCTGCTGAAGGACGCAGCAAATTTGGGAAGAAACCTCCACAACTACCCAAAAACCTGAGAGGAGACTTTTCTGAACCATCCAGCCCTGGAGGAACCTCGTTCCTTTGGCTGGACCTTCCTCCTGTTTGGGATTCATGACTTGACAGGGGCAGACTGGGAGGGGTCTGGTTGAACGAAGAACAAACAAGCAGCTGTGTCACTGTCACATTCACACAGAGGCCGTGTCACTGTCACATTCACACAGAGGCTGTCACACAGCAGCAGCACAGCGAGGTGAGGCAGAGGATGTGCACCATGCAGCGTTAGAAGGGAAATAAAGGATAAAAACTTGCTGCAGAAACAAACAATTAAGCACTAAACATGCTTTAGGCAGGGTGCTGTGGGTTTTCTTCCTCGAGGGTACACGGGGACATCTTGGCATCTCTCCACACCCCCACCTACACCTCTGCTTACTCCTGCTTGGGAATCCTTCCTCCCCACGGGCCTGAACCCTGGCTGGGGTCCCCTGGCACCCTCCAGGCCGCCCGTGGGAGCTGCTCCAGGGGGTTTGGGGCAGGGGGAGTGCGGGGGGTCAGGGATACTCACCGGTCTGCAGGGTCTGCCTCCCCCCCGAGAGCACTCCCAGGGGCAGGGTACCTGTGGGGGTCAGGCCTTTGAGGGTCAGCACGCTCTCGCTCTCCTCCCTGCAGGAAGAGCAGCACCAGTTACACACTGAGCAGGGCACTGGTGGGTGTTGTGGGAGGCATGGATCATGAGAATCATGGAGCTATGGGATCATTAAGGCTGGAAAAGACTTTTAAGGTCACCAAGCCCAACCATCAACCCAGCACCACCACTACCCACATCCCCAAGTGCCACATCCACGCAGCTGTTAAACCTCTCAGGGATGGGGACTCCACCACAGCCCTGGACAGCCCATTCCAGTACTTGGCAACCCTTTCCATGCAGAAATTTCCCCTAATATCCAACCTGAACTTCCCCTGCTGCAGCTTGAGGTCGTTTCCTCCCATCTGCCACTCGTTATTTGGGAGAAAAGACCAACCCCTACCTGGCTAAAACTTTCAGGCAAACGTGTCCTGAAAGAGTCAGGAAAAACCAATTGTTTTATGAAGTTCTTCCCTTCTTTTTTTCCTAACCAGTGTTCTTCCATCACCCAGTCCCCAAATTAAACTCAGCCCCCAAACTAAGCCCAGTCCCCAAATAAAACTCAGTACCCAAATGAAGCCCAGACCCCAAATGAGGCCCAGTGCCCAAATGAAGCCCAGTCCCCGAATTAAGCCCAGTCCCCAGATTAAGCCCAGTGCCCAAATTAAGCCCGGTCCCCAAATTAAACCCGCTCCCAAAATTAAGCCCAGTCTCCAAGTTAAACTCAGTCCCCAAACTATGCCCAGTTCCTGAATTAAGCCCAGTCCCCAGTTTAGGCCCAGTCTCCAAATGAAGCCCCAGACCCCAAATGAGGCCCAGTGCCCAAATGAAGCCCAGTCCCTGAATTAAGCCCAGTCCCCAGATTAAGCGCGGTCTTCAAGTTAAACTCAGTTCCCAAACTATGCCCAGTGCCCAAATTAAGCCCAGTGCCCAAATTAAGCCCGGTCCCCAAATTAAACCCAGTCCCCAAATTAAACCCGGTCCCCAAATTAAACTCATCCCCAAACTATGCCCAGTCCCCGAACTAAGCTCAGTCCCCAAATGAAGCCCAGTGCTCAAATTAAGCCCAGTCCCCGAATGAAGCCCAGTCCTTGAATGAAGCCCAGTCCCCAGTTAAGCCCAGTCCCCAGTTAAGCCCAGTCCCCAGTTAAGCCCAGTCCCCAGGCCATGCTCACCGAAGAACTGAGAAGACCCGTGCCATCTTCCCAATGGCTCTGATCTTATTCCTGATGATCTCCTTGCGCACCGTTGTCCCACCTTGGGGAGAGAAAAGAGCAAAGAGCTGCACGTTGGAGGGTTCCTGCTCTCCAGGGAAGGTCAGGATGAAGCACCTGCCTGACTCCAGGAAAAGAAATCATGGTTTTTACAGATTCACAGGAGAGAGAACGGTGCTGGAAGGATGGCATCAGGATGGCATCAGGATGGCACCAGGATGGCGGTGAGGAGGGCAACACCAACGAGATGGCACACGGAACTCGAGAGGGCTAAAGAGAGTAGAACCACCACAGGACACGGATTCGGGGAGGTCTGGCTGGCAGGTCACCAGCTGGGCCCACACTGCACAGGATGTGACACAAATGACTCAGCCATGAGGACACGGTTTGCAAGGCAGAGCACGGAGGGGGCTGACGGCTGATGGGCACCGCTGTGCTCGCCCGCAGCGGCACGCAAGCATCAGCTTTGGCATCCAAGGAGCACAGGGAAGGGCTGGCCCGAGCCTGGCAGCTCTGCTCTGACCCCACACGGACACAACGGGACGGGGGGAGCTCCCCTTCCGCTCCACGGACCCAACGGGAGAGAGAAACAAAAAAAGCACGGAGGGAGCTGAAACCAAACGGAAAGTTCAGGTCGAAAGAGGGAACAAATCCATCTCCTCTCAGCTGAGATTCCTCACATGGCCCGGTACACATCAGGACAGGGAAGCCAAACCCAGGGCTAACATGCACCATGGCTCAGCCATGCACTACGTGGCTGCATTCAGAATCAGGTAGAAACGTGACCCCCGTTTCTCAAAGTTCCTGGAGGAACGCAGAAGGGTTAAAAAACACATGGAGCTTATGTTAAAACTGAAAGGGGATGAAGAGACTGCCCCACTAGTCAGCTCTGGAAATCCACTTCAAGGATCTGGTGGCACAGGCAGTGATAATTAAGCTCGTAGCAAATTCTAGCTGGGTACCTTTCGGATAGCTTGAAATGTAGTGATCTTCAGGGAGAGGAGACACCAAGAAACAAGTAGATGAAGACAGAGATAGAAGAAACAAATTTAATTTTCATGGGAGGGAGGAAAGAAAAAACCAAAAAAACCAAAAAACAAAACGGAAATGCAATGGGATAAGCGGGTTAGAGTCTCCACCTGGGGCCGAGGCAGCTCAGGCCCCACTTCTTGCTGCCCCCCTCAGCTTCCTCAGGTCACCACCTCACTCCTGAGTCCCCCCAAAATCCAAACTGCTCATCAGCTCAACCACTGATTTGTCCCCTTCATGCATGGCTTAAAACCAGGGCCAAAACCAGCGTTTTTGGGGAGGGGGGTGACACGAGAAGCCACTTTACAGAGGACTTCACTGCAACAGATGAGACGACTGGGTGGATATTTTGGTACAGAAAATTTTGAATTGGGGGAAAAAAAAACCAGCAACCTGTGTTAGGAGCAGGAAACCATTCCCAGAGTAGCTGGCAAGAAATGTCTGTCGCAGTGAATGCCATTTAATTTCTCTGTGACTGAGCAGCAAAGGAGAAAAAATAAAATAACATTCCTTACCCAAAACTGCAAAGGTTGGGCAAAAAGGAACCGGAGACCCTGGCTGGGTGTCCAGCTATAAATCAAGTGCTGCTCAGGCATGAAAGACCTTGCCCAGCCTTTCCCCCCGCTGCTCTCTGGTGCCAGCAGGGATATTTTACCTTCCAACGTCTCGTCGCCATCCGAAATCAGCTCGTCATCAGAACAGATGTTGAGGATGTTCACGAGCATCTCGGTGACTGCAAGAGGCACAGACAGAGAGGTCAGAGAGGCCTGGGCATGCAGAGGGATTTGGAGGATGAGGGAAAGATTTCAAGGTCGTCTGTCCCCTGCAAGTGGGAGCCTAAAGACACTTTTAGGCACAGCCTGCCGGTACCCGCAGCGGCGCCGGAGCAGACGACACACGTTGCATCTTCTGCCAAGGAGGTGGATGCAGGCCAAGCACATCACAGAGGAACCAGACGTGGGGAAGGAGGTGCCAACATTCCTGCAGAACAGCCTGAGCTCCCTCAAGGTCCCCCCTCCCCATCCTCACCCACGCCACAGACACCTGGCTCTGAGAAGGGCCAAATCTGGGGAGGGGGGATTCGACCTTTGGTGCCTCAAAGTCAAAAAACCCTGTGGAAGTGGTGAGGGTGGAGGTGCACTCTGAACATACAAGACTGGGGTGGAATTTAAGCTCATCAGGAAAGGTAAAAATTCTTTTGGTGAAAAGCTGAGGCAAAGTCTTGGTCATATTTTAAGCTGCCTCGCCATCTTCAGAACAAAATAAGCCTTGGATTGAAGTGAATGCTTCCTTTTTGGTGGGCCAGGAGCCAGCAGGAATTTAAAATTCCTCTGCTGCAAACCAAGAGACACATCTCCAAATTCTGAGGTGGGACTACAGCACCCAAGATCAGCCCCACCAGCAATACAGAAAGAGCAAGAAAGGAATGTTTTACTGGTAAAAGCTTTATCAAACAGCTATCAACAGCTGTTCTTGCAGGAATTTAATCCAGTAATGAAGATCTCCTTGAGCCTGAACTGCTCTCCTGTGCTACCTGGAGCTGCAACACTCCCCCAGCACTGTGGGACAGGTTTGTGACACTCAGGATACGAGGAGCAGTCACTGGGAATCTGGAACAGAAACCCAAATCTCTCTTACCCTTTTCCCCTACAAAAGGCAAAGACCATGTGAAGACATCCATGAAGTTTGGAAGCCAGTAGGGGTGAGGGGAACAGTTGAACTGCCTGATGTTCATGACATTGTTTTCGTATTTCAGTACAGCAGCTGGGGGAGAAAAGGGAAAGAGAATAAATGTCCATGGGCATTTCCACCTACAGAACCCTGGAATGGGCTGGATTTGAAGGGATCTTAAGGAGCAGCCACAGCTTCCCCAGCAATTCCATCCCAGCCCCTCCCCACCTTCACAGGAAGAAATTCCTTCCCAATATCCCATCCATCCCTGTCCTCTGGCAGTGGGAGCCATTCCCTGTGTCCTGTTCCTCCACCCCTTGTCCCCAGTCCCTGTCCAGCTCTCCTGGAGCCCCTCTAGGCTCTGGCGGGGTTCTTAAAGTCTCCCTGGAGCCTTTTCCTCTTTCACCCCCAGCTCTCCCAGCCTGGCTCCCTCTGGAAGTTTTACCAGTGTTAAAAACCTTCATTATCAACACCCCGTTACACTTGGGTAGCATCAAACTACTAACTCTCCAAAATGAGAAGGTTTAAACCATCATTTTTTGGTTTACTCAGGTTGGTTCTCAGCTTAAAACAGTTAAGCTCAAACAGAGCCAAGATTCAAAGTGAGGGGTGAAAAACCCCACAGCTGGACAAAATCCCACCACGATCCCCAGGGTTTAGGGGCAGGGGGAAGTGGAAAGCTTTCCTACACTATCAGCTTCTGTGGGATGGCAGCATCCATCAACAGGGCTCCATTCTCCTGTGGCTGGGAATGAAAGCTTTATTCCAGGCCTTATGACTCCACAGTTAATTGCCACAGTAACACATTAAGTCAACCACTTCAGCTCAGCACACAAAGCTCTCTTTCATTCCAGGCACAAGAATGTGACTGGAGGAGAGGGTTTTGTATCAAAAAGAGTGTATTTTTTGTATCAAAACCAGTGTGGTGGCAGCTGGAGAAGGGCAGGGATTGTCCCTCTGTGCTGGGCACTGGGAGGTGCCTCGAGGGCTGTGTCCACTTCTGGTCCCCTCACTGAGACATGGAGGGGCTGGAGTGAATCCAGGGAAGGGAACGGAGCTGGGAAGGGGCTGGAGCACCAGGAGAGGCTGAGGGAGCTGGGAAAGGGCTCAGCCTGGAGAAAAGGAGGCTCAGGGGGGCCCTTGTGGCTCTGCACAGCTCCTGCCAGGAGGGGACAGCCGGGGGGTCGGGCTGTGCTCCAGGGAACAGGGACAGGAGGAGTGGGAACGGCCTCAGGCTGGGACAGGGCAGCTCAGGGTGGATTCAGCAGGAATTTCTTCCTGGAAAAGGTGCTCAGGCCTGGGAACTGCCCAGGGAGGCTTGGAGTGCCCATCCCTGGAGGCCTCCAAGGAATGACTGGAAGTGACAACCAGTGACAAGGTGGGGATTGGGCACAGGTCGGACTCAATGGCTTGGAGCTCTTTTCCAATTAAATTATCCTGTGATTTTGGGAGGGCAGAGTGGGAGAGGGATTTCCTGACCCAGCCCCAGAGCAGCAGAGCCCTAGCCTTACCCTTGTTGTTATAGACATCTAAGTAATTTGGTGCAGAGAAGATTGTGATTAATGAGGGAAAGCCCGTGGTCTGGCTCTTCCTGTACATTCGGTACCTGCAAAACAGGGCACGAGTTAAACCTGGCTTAGCAGAGCCCAAACCCCGCCCAGCCCCCGGGCTGCAGCACTTACCCAGCGTCCTGGGCTTCGTGAGCTCGGATTACGGATAACAAACTATTGTTCTGCAAAAATTCACACACTGCAGGATAACTGGAAAACAAAAAGGGAGGAGAACTCAGCTGCGAGCAAAGGAGAGCACAGAGCTCGGGTGGTCTTGGTTTCAGGGAGCAGCCACTTGCAGAAAACATCCAGCTTCTGTCCAGCACCCCAAAATCTGTTTTATTCCAAAATTATTCAAATGATATATTTTTATTCAATAATTAATTGCAAAGGGTTCTGTTAAACCCTTCCTATAAGTGGACTGTCAGCACAAATTCTTCTTTTTTAGCAAGGAAAGAATATTTCCTAGAGAATATTTCCTAGCACCTATTTCCAGGTGCTGCAAACCACTCACAGCCCAAAGAAGCATCTCTGCCGCTTGAGATCCCAATTCTACCAAGTAACTTATCCAAAGACAGCTCAATGTTCAAATTTATTCAAAGACAGCTCAATATTCAAACTTATCCAAAGACAGCTCAATATCCAAAGAAGCAAAAAACAAACAAGAATTTGTGCATTAGAGCCAAGTGAGGAGAATTTCACATGGACTGCAAAGCCCCACAGAGTGGCCTGACCAGTGATTTCAGTGTGAGGAGAGAGAAATGCCCCCAGAACCACCCCTCACCTGTAGAAATAGGAGCAGCCTCGGACAGTGTTGTGGGCAAAATGCTCCAGGGTTTTCTCGTTGCCGTAATCCTCCGAGGGATCCGACCACAGCAGGTCACACATCGGACCAAAGGCTGGAGGCTCCTTGAACCTGTCTAACTGGAGAGGGGACACAACATCAGGAGGAGCTGTGGCAGGGTTCCTTCAGCTGGGGCTGTGGACAAATCACCAACGGGACAGGGCTGCCAGGAAGCCTCTGGAGCTGTTGTATTTTCCAGCATCAGCCTCATTACATTGTTATGACAATGGGAAGATGTTATCTGCTCACATTTTAGGCAGCAGATAAAGAACTAAATGTACAACTCACTTTAAAAGATTTTTGACAAATCACTCAAAGCAAAAGCATGTTGACAGTAGTTTTATCTAACCACTATAAGCACGTGTACTTCTGGTTAAAACAATGTTTGCTTATTTCAAATACAATACCTGCTTGTAAGCCTTAAAACACAATGTACAGAGCTCTATTATTAAGCTTACAACTTCCTAATATCTTGTTAGATATACTTTTTATGGATTTATTTTAGACAAGCATTAATACACAGACCATTGTTCTATTTGTTTTTACTTTTCTACTTTTTACATATTTTTCTGCTGACCAATCTTATGGCTACTGCTTAGCTCTAATCACAGTTCTGCTGTTCCTGAGGCCTGTCTTTTGTAGCTTCCTCAAAACCCTCTGATTTTATGCATTCCCACCCTCCCATCCCCAAATCCACACAGCAGCGAGCCCCACGGGGAGCTGGGACGGAATGGAAAAGCTCCAGGAGCTGACTTACTTTCCTAATGTCATCTAGACACGTGATTTCTGGGGACAGGCCCCCGTGGACACACAGGAATTGCTGGTTGAGGAGGGCAGCGAGAGGAAGACAGTCGAAGGTGTCCATGCACGCGTCGTACACTCGCTCCGAGTACTTGATTCGACCTGCAGGGAGGAATCCAACCAAGCTCTGATCAGTCCAGTGCTGATCAATAAACTCCAGTTCCTAAAGGAAGCTCAAAATTAAAAGGGGTCACAAGTCAAACTTTGCAGCTGGTAGTGAAAATACGGACTTGGAATCAACTCTGCACCTGTGTGTTCATGAAAATGCTGATTTAGAATCAATTCTGCACCTGGAATCAACTCTGTGCATTTGTGAAAATGCTGATTTAGATTAAAACTCTGCACCTGTGTATTCCTGAAAATACTGATTTAAAATCAGCAGCGTATTCGTGAAAATATTGATTTAGAATCAAAACTTTGCATCTGTGTATTTGAGAAAATACCGATTTGGAATCAAACTCTGCACCTGTGCATTTGTGAAAATACTGATTTAGATTAAAACTCCGCACCTGTATATTCCTGAAAATACTGATTTAAAATCAGCAGTGCATTTGGGAAAATACTGATTTATATTAAAACTCTGCATCTGTGTATTCATGAAAATGCTGATTTAAAATCAGCAGTGTCTTCCTGAAAATACTGATTTAGATTAAAACTTTGCATCTGTGTATTTGTGAAAACACTGATTTAGAATCAACTCAGCACCTGGAATCAACACTGCACCTGAGCATTTGTGAAAATTCTGATTTGGAATGAAATTCTGCATCTGTGTATTCCTGAAAATACGGATTTAGATTAAAACTTTGCACATGTGTGTTCCTGAAAATACTGATTTAGAATCAAACTCTGCACCTGTGTATTGGTGAAAATACTGATTTAAAATCACCTGTGTATTCTCAAAAATGCTCATTTAGAATCAAACTCTGCACCAGTGCATTTGTGAAAATGTTGATTTAAAATCACCTGTGCATTTGTGAAAATACTGATTTAAAATCAACTCAGCACCTGTGTATTCCTGAAAATACCAACTTGTAAAATAATTGTTGGATGTGTGAAAGAAAAGGTTTTTTTAATGTGGAATTGGACAATATTCATGTCCCTCCAATTTCTTTTCCAGAACACCTGCACTGAGATCAGCACAAAGGAGATGAGGTGTTCCCACAGAATGAAAATTGGGATCATGTGATAAATTTGGGGTGCTGCTGAAGCCACCCCATCACTTCCCACAGCCCTGCTGCACCTCTAGCCTCATCCTGACTGCTGAATTTGGCACAGCAGCAGCACACAGCCATGGGAGCAGGAATTGTTTTTCCACAGCTCCTGGGAGGCAGGATTTGCCCACAGGAATGGATCTTCCCACTGGATCTTCCAGGGATGACAATCCCAGTGATGCCTCACCCTAGCAGAGGGGAAGAGGATGTTCCCATACATAAATCACAGCCTTTCCAAAGCACTGTGCTCTTACACCAAGGCTCAAATCTGCTCAGAAATTTCCTTTCTCCAGAGACACCAGCAGGGTTCTCAGGGAAGGGGAAAAGCAGCACCTCCTGACTGCCAAAGGGAAAAACCCAGCCCCACCCCCTGGTTCAGACGGGGCCCAGCTCACCAGGAGCTCACCTGTGTGCAGGTGATGGGCACAGCATCCAGCACAGAGCTGGGAGCTGTTCTCCAGCTCACACCTGAGCTAACAGAGCAGGGACTCTTCCCCTCTGAGCCTTCCCCCATCCAACACCACCCAGAGCTGGTGGGATAAAGACTGGATTTGTTCATTGCCCAGAATGATCTCTGCAGGTTGGGTTCTTGAGCAAGAGCTCCCTACAGGAGCTTTGCATTGAGTTCTCCACCTCTTTTATTGCTTGGAATGACAGACACCCAGCATTCCCTGACCTTTCCTCAGCACTGCTTTAAAAACATTCAAATGCTGTGCACAAACCCATCTTTTAACTGAAAAAAACATCTGAAAGGTAAATGATCCTCCCCAGTGCAAACAGGGAGGAGAAAATGCTTCCCCCATTCCAGCTCCAATCACTGATCCCAGCTGCACAATCTGGAGCTGGAAGGCTTTTGGCACTGATTCCACATTGCTGGGCCTGGAAGTCAGGGAGGGGAGGATGTGTGTGCCTGGCTCACCAAGGGCATTTCTTCCCATTTCTTCCCATTTCTTCCATCCACACTCAGTCTTTGAAACCAAAAAGGCCACGTTTGGTGCTTAACAGAACTTAAAGATTTGGGTTTTGGGGTGTTTTTTATAGCAGAAGAGCAGGAAAACAAGACAACAGGTTTTTACAGCTCTGATGTCACTCAGAGGCACAAAAATTGAAGCCCACGCCTTCTCACAACACCTTTTTTAAAAAATATATATTTTAAAATGTATTATTTAAATGGATTCAAATCCTTCTCCCACTGCTGATACTTACATTCCTGCTTGAAGGTGAAGTATTCTGTGAGGTGCCTGCACTCGTGGTTCCCTCGAAGGAGGAACAACGTTTTGGGATGATTTATCTTTAAACTCCATAAATACAGCACGCACTGCAAGAGAGGCAAACAGGGGATGTCATAAAATCCTTTCCCAGGGCACTCATCAGCCTGAGACTGCACTAAGAGGTTCTGGGAAGACACCCAAAGTGGAACCCAGCTCCATAATGGGCAGTGGATCTCCTCCTGGCCAAGTGGGGAAAAGCCACCGGGATTTCTCTATATTAGGGCTGACTTGGAGAAGTGACAAATGAGGTCGTGGCCAACAGAAAGCAGCTCAGGGCTGGGTGGGGGCAGCTTTGCTTCCAGCACAAACCAAAGGAAAAAAAAAAAAAAAACCCTTTTGTAGAGCAGCAAAGCAGAACCAGCTGTTTGCTCCAGATGTTCCACTGGGATGGAGACCAGCGAGAGGAGCAGGCAGACATTTGTCCACAAAACACCCGGAAAATTCAACTTCACCTTCCTCACTCATTTCCCCCCTCCCTGGTTTTTCTGCTTGTGCTACAGTCATGTGAAGTTCAAGCTCAAAACAGGAAAAGCTGAGCCCAAAAAACAAGCTTAGCTTAGCAAAGCTCTCTGGCTTTGACAAGGGCTTTCCACATCCCCTCTGCGAGCAGCGACACCTGCAAAACCGGCGCCTTTGATGAGGCACAGACCAAAGCCAGGCTGAAACCGGGGTTTTTAGCAGAAATATTTCATGCTGGCTTCCCAAAAAAAGCCTGAGGGAAGGGCTGGGAGGCAGGGAGGGCCCACTCAGCCCGGTGTGCTCGGGCTGACAGCGGGTTATCTCACACGTGGAAATGTTATCACACTGCTGTGGAGTGCTGGAAGGACAATCCATAAGGACAGCAAGCTCCAGGAGCTGGATTAAGTCTCTAATAGGAGCTTGCCCTGGGGGCTGACAGGCTGCAGGACCCACCTGGGAAACAGGAACCGCCACCAAGTCTGTTTTACACCCTCCAAAATTCCCAATCTGGGGCACAGATCCCCAGGAACCAGCTGGGAGCAACCTCCAGAACCCAAATGAAGCAGTTCCCTGTTGGTTCCCAGCACAGCCAGCTTAGATCTGGTGGTGTTGAAGACTGAAGCTGCAAGGTAAGCTCTGCATGAATCATCCCAGCTGATCCCAAAAACCCCGAGGAGCTGTAAAGCACTGCCTGTGTCTCACTTGGAATTCAACCCCACATTAACAACTTGATTAATTGGGAATTCCAAAAGAGAACGGGGCCAAGGCCAGTAGCAGAATCATGTTTTACTGCATCTGTTACCAGGAGGAATGCTCCCAACAAAACCATTTATAATTATTCTGGGATTTAAAGCTTTAACCTCCCTGTGTTTGCAAGAGAAATGTCACTTTTCTGGGCTGGCAGGAGAACTCTGACGTTGCTATAAATGAACCAAGTGGCTTGGAGGAAGAAGCAGCCCTGGCATCAAAGCAAGGCAGAGACACAGCATCAATAGGGGAGGGTTTGGGATGTATGCAAGGTTGGCAGCCTGCAGAAGAGAGATTTTAAAACACATTTGAAGGGGTTTAAAGTGGAATGGGGTTGAATTTGTTCTTCCTGGACATGCCAGGGATGTGGAGAGCGACCATTCCCAAGGATGTGGGTACCAGGAGACACGGAGTAAAGGACACTGAAGAGCCCTCGAGGGCTCCAGAGGGGCTGGAATGAGGAATGAGGGAGTTTCTACACTTGCATGCCTTGGATGCTTCCTGGTGTTTTGCACAGATCCCTTTCCCAGGAATTGATTCCTGCCTGCTTGCAATAGCCAAGGAGCAAATCCAGGCAGTCACAGCTTTTTGGGCTTAAATCATCTTAAATAATCTCCTTCTCTCCTTATTCTGCCTCTCATTGTGACGCCCAAAGCCAAGGGTTTGATCCACTTGGAAAGGGAAAGCTCAGCAGGACACAGGGAGGGAATTCCAAGAGGAATTGGAACTCGCAACCCCAAAAATGAAAGAGGGGCTGGTGCCAAACCTGCCCCCACCATCACCTCTCTCATCATTCCCAAAATCTGGCATTTGTAAGGAAGTTTTACACACAGAGCCTACCAGAGTGGGAACAGAGGCAAAACTCCCAAATCCAGCCCACAAATCCAGCCTGACTCCCACTTTACAGGGCTGACTGGATCTCTTTAACATTATTCTGGATAAAAAAGTGCATTAAATCAAGATTACCATATAATTCCATAATTAGACAGCAATCACGTGTCCTGTCATAACCGGATTGGAAGAACTGGCCTGGGAAAGGTGCATGCCATTATCACAGCACTTTTCCTGATAAATTTCCTCTTTGCATGGATTCTGTTCCTGGTCATAACAATTCACTAATTTAACAAAATCATTCTATTCACTGTATTCCAGCTTCATGGACTGGGACGGCCCTTTCCTACCACGAGCACAGACCTCTCTTGTGCCATTCTGGGATTTGGGACTAAAAGCTGAATGAAAGGAGCGTTTTTCCCACTGGGAATCCTTCAGCAGGGCTGTGCCTCGTCAGCATCTCCCAAAGGGGGAGTTCATCCCGATTTCCATGCTGCCTGTCAGCCCTGCACTCTGGAGCTGGGATCTGTGGCCAGTCAGTCTCGCTGTCACAGCGGGTTTGGGACAGCAAACCCTTCCCAGAGTCCCCTTCCAGCAGCATTCCAGCTTTCACACGCTTCTTCCCCTCCCCTCTCCCCTCACAACTCTTTTCTTAAAAAAAAAACAACCAAACTAAACCATCAACCAATCCACTCTCCATGGCCTCATTATACTGGGAATTCATGTTTTTAAATGAGAATTTCCCTAAGCCAGAGGCCCAGCAAGAACTTGTTGAATGATTTGTTGCTGACATCCAGCTGAGCTGATGAACTGAGAGGCTTGGGGGGGCTGGGGTTTGGAAGGTTTTGTCTGAGCCACAAATTCCTCCTTGTACCTGGACAACCAAACACCTGGAGCCACAGGGAACACCTGGAAGGGAAATCTGGCCCTTACACCTCCTTGGCCTCCAGTCTGGCATCGTTTCCTGCAATTAAACCACCCCCTCCTATTTCGTTCTGTTAAAAGGTCACGGTTATGGAATCGTGGAATATCCTGAGCTGGAAGGAATCCACAGGGATTCCAAGGCCTGGCTCTGCCCAGGACAGCCCCAGCTGCTCAGATCATCTCCCCATGGAAGCCCAACTTGGTGTGGTGACTCATGAGGCTGCTGCTGCTGCTCCCCACCTTCCCAGAGGTCACACCACAGGCAAAACCTGGATGTTTTTCCATCTGGGATACTCCAAACCTGCTGTTGTTTCGCTACAGAAAGCAAGAGTTTGCACACCCAGATGGGAATCTCTTTCCACCTAGGTGGAAGGGAGAGGTACATGGGAATGAAAACTTCTGGATTCTGCCTTATCCTGATGTTTGCAGTGTGTTTGCTGTGCCCATCAAAGCCCACCCTGAGCTGTGGGATCAGAGGGATTCTCCAGGGAAAATCCATTGCATTCCTGCTGCAACACAGGGGGAAAGGCAAGGAGGAGAGGAAAAAGCAGCAGGAAATAGAAGATAAAACATCTTTTTTGCCCCACCACCTCAGTTTTCCAAGGCCATACATCGTCTTGGAATTCTTCCATATTATCACAGGCAGAGAGGACAAGGGGGATTTGAACTAAAAGGGGATTTAGATGGGACACAGGGAAGAATTCTTTCCCTGTAAGGGTGAAGAGGCCCTGGCACAGGCTGCCCAGAGGAGCTGGGAAAGATTTCCTCATTCCTGGAAGCATCCAAGGCCAGGCTGAACAGGGCTTGGAGCAACCTGGGATAGTGGAAGGCATCCCTGCCCAGGGCTGGGGGTGAAACAGGATGGGATTTAAGGTTCTTTCCAACCCAAACCATTCCATGATTCTGTGATGATCCCAGCATGGAGACACCAGGGTGCTGATCCCCAGCACTTCTGGAGATCTAAGAGCAAAACCTCCATGTCAGATCAATCCTGGGCTAAGAGCAGGGAATGGGAGCAGCACTTTTCCACCCTGATCCACACAATCCATACAAAGACACAGGGCCCAACACCTCTCATTTGAAGGCTCATGGGTTAACACCAAAAAAAAAAAATGCACCTTTTCTCTCAGAAGGAGCTGCTGTTCTGGAATATAATCCCTTTTCCATGTGAACACTGCAAATCCAGAGGAACAGTGGGATGTGTCCTTCCCCTTCCTCCCTGGGGGGCTCCTCCTGGCAGCACCACCCCAAATCCCAGAGATCCCAGCAGCCCCAGCCCCAGCTCTGCCTCACCCATCCCCGCTGCCCCGGAAGCTGCTCCTCGTCACACCTTGGCTCCCTGTCAGGATTCCAGAGCGTGGGGCTGGAGGGGAGCCAGGGGCTGCTGGAGCTCAAGCTGTCAGCCCTGCTCTCCTTAAATCCTCTGCAGAATCCTTCAAGGAACCCCTTGCACTCATCCCTGACAGTTCCTTCCCAAAATTTTTCACTGGGGAAGATTCAGCTCAGCTGCTCCTGCAGCCTCTTTTTTCCAAGAGAAATCACCCCTTCTGTTATTCCAGCTGATTTCTGCCACATTTCAGCCCCCTGCTCCCCCAAAAGCCTTTCCTTACTTTGCTTCCAACTGGGAGAAGTGCTCCACTTCCACTCAGCCCTGCCTCTGTGAATCCAGATGGCCGCAATCCCTTGGGATTTGTGGCATTTGCTAAGAGCTGTCCCTTCCTGTCCCATCCCAGGTCTCCACTGAGCCAGCAGCAGCCACGGGGCTGCTCTCAATCCTTTTGGGCTCCACTCCATCCTTTGTCCTCCCAATTTCTTGGGCATGGAATCCCAGGGAGCTGCCACAGCCCAGGTGACTTCTGCTCCTCTCTCCTGACCCCATTCCAGGGTTGCAGAGGGAAGCAGTGACTCAGGCACGTGGCCCTTTCTCCTCCTGTTCCATCCTGAATCCTGCAGCTTTTCCAACATTTGCTTCCCACTGGTGGGGTCCTGTTGGAACCCTGGATGTTGAGAATTTTAAACTTCCTGTGCTGAAGGGCACAGACCCACAAGAGAACTCTACCTTTGACCTGAGGCTGTAGGAAAGACTTCCAAAATTAATTGATAACACTGAGATTACAGGTGTGGAGTTGGTTAGAAGTGTGTGATAACACAGAGTAGAAAACTTAAAAGAGTTTAGAGTTTTAGAATATAGAAATAAATATAAAGCAAGACAAAAGTTTTAGGGCAGAGTCAGGTTATTCTTTTTTACCTTCTTCTTCCTTCTTCTTCAAGGGTTTGGGTGGTATTTTGTAATTAGACAGAAAAGTCCACATTACAAGCTTTGAAAGATCAGTTATTAAGTTAAAAAGGAAAATAATCTAAGTGTCATTTCTTAATTAGATAGTTTAGTCTTAAAAGACCTTGTCACAAGAAATAGCCATTTTGTGCCGCACTAATAAAAAGCTACAAAACTCAGAGTTGTAAGACTATTTCACTGATAAAAAACAATAAACACCTAAGCCCAAACATGAACTAAAATCTCAAGTGCCTTCAATCCCAACCTCCAGAACCCACAGGATCCTGTTGCCTACAAAAGCACCATCAACTGTCCCTCTTGTGTCCCTGAGTGACAGCTCCAAGTGACATTAAAACCACCCCAGAAGGCAGAGGATAGGCATTAACCCCATCACTGCCACTGCCTGAGGATCCAAAGATGGGGACATCATTTTCCTGCCCAAAATCCCACTGGGAGTTATCAGCACTGCCTTCACCCCACGCAGAACTCCACTGGAGGGTAAATCCAGCATGAGAGATCTGGGTTGGGTGTTTGGGCTGACTCTCAGCTGGATTTGAACTCATTCTGAGCTGTGTTTTACTGATTCTGAGCTGCATTTAATTGATTCTGAACTGAATTTTACTGATTCTGAGCTGTATTTAATTGATTCTGGGCTGTATTTTATTGTGCTGCATTTGAACTGATTCTGAGCTGCATTTTATTGAGCTACACTTGAATTCATTCTGAGCTGAATTTTACTGATTTGGAGCTGTATTTCACTGATTTTGAGCTGTGTTTAATTGATTCTGAGTTGTATTTTATTGAGCTACATTTGAACTTATTCTGAGCTGTATTTTACTGATTCTGAGGTGTATTTTATTGTGCTGCATTTGAACTGATTCTGAGCTGCATTTTACTCATTCTGAGGTGTATTTTATTGAGCTACATTTGAACTGATTTTGAGCTGCATTGTACTGATTCTGAGCTGCATTTAATTGATTCTAAGCTGAATTTTACTGATTTTGAGCTGCATTGTACTGATTCTGAGCTGAATTTTATTGATTTTGAGCTGCATTTTACTGATTCTGAGCTGAATTTTATTGAGCTACATTTGAATTCATTCTGAGCTGAATTTTACTGATTTTGATATGTATTTTAGTGATTCTGAGCTGCACTTAATTGATTCTGAGCTGTATCTAACTGATTTTGAGTTGCATTTTAGCTATTCTGAGAGGCATTAAACTGATTTGGGGCTGTATTTAACAGATTCTGAGTTGCACTTAATTGATACTTATCTGAATTTTATTGATTCTGAGCTTAATTTGAACTGATTTTGAGCTGGTTTTAACTGATTCTGAGCTGTACTTTACTGAGCTGCATTTGAACTGATTCTGAGTTGAATTTTACTGATTTGGATTTGTATTTTAGTGATTCTGGGCTGCATTCAATTGATTCTGAGCTGCATTTTACTGATTTGGAGTTGAATTTTACTGATTGTGAGCCAAATTTGAACTGATTCTGAGCTGGTTTTAACTGACTGAGCTGCATTTTAACTGAGGTTCAACACTTTGGGTTCCTTTAGCCCCAGCACCCCCAAGCTCCACTTCCTTGGTCACCTCTATACTGAAGTAGCCTCTGTCCACGTAGTCCCCCAGGAAGAGGTAGCGGGTGTTATTGGGTGATCCTCCCACTTCAAACAGCTTCATCAGGTCAAAGAACTGCCCGTGGATGTCACCACACACTGGGGGAGGAAGAACAGCACAAAAGAGGGACAGAATTACCACGCTAAGAAAAGCAAGGTCACGACAGCAGCGAGGAGCAGAGCGAGCACCGGCAAAATCCTCTCTTCTGAGAGCTCAGCAAAGTTAAAAAACCTTGCGGGTGGAAAGAACAGGGCAAAAAAAAAAACCAAAACCTGCTGGGGTTATCCAGGTTGTTATTCAGGAATTGAGCCATGAGCTCTGACCTGTGATTGGAGCCTCCACCTCGATCATGGTCTTCTCGTGCCTCAGGATGGCGGCGCCGTCGTTGATGATTTTCAGCGCCGCGTCCTCCTCCAGCCGCCCTTCCTTCACCAAGTGGCTCTTGAGGACGTCGAGCCTCGGTTTGCCATCCTCAAACACCTCCTTCAGAGTGAGCCGCTGCGTGGGAGGGAATGGGACAGCTGGAAAGGCAAGGGGAGGGAAGGAGTCAGCAACACGGCGCTTCTCGGGGACAGGGAACGACGGGCTTTGCTCCCGAGCCTCGAGCTGACACCCAGAAATGGAATTCCCACTGAAATGATGCTCCCAAAGAGTGAGAGAAGAGCTGAGCTGCCAGAGCTGCTGGATTCACCCCTCAGCTTGGTTAAAATCCCTCTTGGTGCAGCCTAAATGCCACCTGTAGCTGCGCCAGAGCTGCAATGCCAAGGGGACAGTCAGCGTTCGAAGCCAGAACAGATTCCATGGAAATACCAGCACAACCAGGAACCAGTGAGCCAGAAGGAGGACCAACAGGTAAAATCTTTCCTTATCAGGAAACCACATGCCCTCAAAAAGCAGAATTTGCTTCCCTTCACTCCAATACCTCAAAAAGCTTCAGCCCCAAAAAGCAGAATTTGCTCCTCCCTGCCCCAATAACTCAAAAAGCTTCACCCCCAAAAAGAATGTGCCCCTTTTCACCTCAATACTTCAAAAAGCTTCACCCCCACAAAGCTGAATTTGCCCTTCTCTGCCCCAACACCTCAAAAAGCTTCACCCCCCAAAAACAGAATTTGCCCTTCTCTGCCCCAATAACTCAAAAAGCTTCACCCCCAAAAGCAGAATGTGCCCTTCCCAATACTTCAGAAAGTTTCACCCCAAGCTTAGAAATTGGAAATCTTGATGGAATCCAATATTTAAGGTAAGTTAAGGCCTCAGCTATTTGCAGCATGTTCCTTAGTTAATTCTGGATGGAAAATACCCATCAAAAACTGCTATATTGTTATTGTTATTACTATTATTATCATCATTATTTCATGGTAGGGAAGAGGATGGTGTGGGAGAAGGTGACCTCTAGCAGAAATTAAGTAAAAAAAAAAAAAAAAAAACAGAACAAAAAATCAGAGTTTTCAGTAAAAATCTGAATTCCTCATCTCCCTTCTCCCAGGCCTGGCTAATTTAAAAAAGATGGGAGCATGCATGAGCCTGGTGTAATATTTAATGGCTGTGTAGTGTCTTGAATTAAAATTAATTCCAGGAAGGAGGCCTGGATGTTTGGGAAGAACTGGGAATAAAACCCCAAGTGTGTGGCCTGGCTGCCAGCAGCTCCTGCAACCCATGGAGTGATGGGAATCTTATCCCAGGGATGCTCTCAGATCCTCCATTTGCTCCCCAAATCAGTAAAGGCAGGATTTCCTCACCCTCGGGGGTCAGTTCTTTCAGCAGCCCCTGGCCATGGTGGGAGCAGAATGATTCCAGGCACAGCTGGGATGAGGAGGAGATGCTGGGATGGGGTTTGCTTTGGGATGATCCACCCAGAGCTCCAAGAAAAGCCTCTTACCCCAGTGCAGACCCCACAGGGAGCTGGCATCACCCCCCAGCCTCGGGGACAAGGCACAAACCTCCCCCAAAAGGTGCTGGAAGCTCTGCAGTCTGTAGGGATGGGGGCAGACGGAAACACCTTCCCACCCTTACCTGGCATCCCCCAAAATATCCCAAAATCTGGAATGCACCAGGGCTTTCATGGGGATTTGAGCCATGGTGGTGCCAGTCTGGGTGTGAGCAAGCACCTCCAAAAGCCTCTGAGAGCCACTGGATAATGAACCATCCTTCCATCATTCTGCTTCTCCTGGGAGCGTGGAAGGCAGATTCACACCCCCAGGAAAATACCTGGGATGTAAATCAAACCTCTGGATGCAAATCAAACCCCTGGATGCAAATCAAACCCCTGACCTCATCCATCACCCAGCAAAGACTGGAGAGGCCACACCTTGAGGGCTGTGTTCAGTTCTGGGAGCCTCACTGAGGGCTGGAGTGAATCAGAGAAGGGAACAGAGCTGGGGAAGGAGCACCAGGAGAGGCTGAGGGAGTTGGAAATACCTCAAACAGCTTCACCCCCAAAAAGCATGTAGAGCCTGGACAGGAAAGCCATGGGCGCTGCCCAGCCCCACAAGGCATGCCTGTGGGGACGGGGAGGCCGGACGGGGGCCTGGGGGTCACTTCTGCTGCTGCTGCCACCCACGGTCCTGTCGGGGAGCAGAGGAGAGGCCGTCAGGAGAAACCCCCCTGTGAGGGGCTGGGGGTGTCCAGGGAATGGGGCTGGAGCACCAGGAGGGGCTGAGGGAGCTGGGAAGGGGCTCAGCCTGGAGAAAAGGAGCTCAGGGGGGACCTTGTGGCTCTGCACAGCTCCTGCCAGGAGGGGACAGCCGGGGGGATCTGGGATCTTATCCCAGGGACAGAGCAGAGGGAATGGCCGCAGGTCGTGCCAGGTTAGACATCAGCAGGAATTTCTTCCTGGAAAGGACTGTTAAATATAGGAAGGGATTGCCCAGGGAGGTTTGGAGTCCCCACCCCTGGGGGTGTCCAAACAACACCTGGAAGTGGCACTCAGCACTCTGGGCTGGTGACAAGGTGGGGACTGGGCACAGCTTGGACCTGGTGATCCTGGAGCCCTCTTCCAACCTGAACGAGCCCGTGAGACACTAAAATATTGAATTTTGAATTTTCCAGGACAGAGCTGGCCAAATAACACAGGGAGAAGAGCGGTGCCGCGGCTCCCTTTTAAATGCAAATCCAGCAGCAATTTACCCTGAAAACCCCCAAGAGGAAACGCAGAGAGGCGGCACAAGAGATTCTTTACAGCTGAACATCAATTTTCAAATCACAGGAACTGCAGGAGTGGCTCTAATGAAAGGGGAGCTGGTGCCTGCAACGAGGTGGCCCCGCTTTCATCGATCCCTTTGGAAGTTGTGCTCTGTGTCCCACGTGCCTGGAAAGCTCCAGAGCCTTCCCCACCAAGCTGACAATTAAACCAGACCTGCTTAAACCAACACGGGCTGGAGCAGGGCTTTTTCTGCATCCACTGCTCAGCTCTGCTTCAAAAGGAAAAAAAAAAAGACCCTTCTGGAGCAAAAAAATAATTTTGAAGGATTTTTCGCCTCTGGGTCACTGCAGGGTTGGCAGAGCTGTGGAAGGAAATGAGGGAAGATGTGGGGTTGGCACCAACAGGATCAGCTGGGATGAGGGAGGGCAAAAGGAAGTAAAAAGGTGGAAATGCAAGCCCAGGACTTGGAATGAGGGATTTTTTTGGGACACTGAGAGGCTGGAAAATGATTTGTAAGTGCTACAAACCTTGTGGTTGTTCTGGCATCTGACTCCAAAGGGAGCCAGGGAGCACTCGGAGGGCAAATGATTACAACAAGAGAGAAACAGAAACCATTCACCTCCACATTCCCCAGCACTCCAGGCCCTCCAGCACGGCCAACACCTCTGGAGCCACACCAAGGGAGTGAGAAGCCCCAGAAGTGGGGTTGGAGAGATCAGCAAAGATGGGATGTGACCCCAGGACAGCACTGCCCATCCAGAGATCCAGGGAAGCTCCTGCCTTTGCCTTTTCCTGGTAGCCCCAGGGAGCAAAGTTATGCAAGATCAAATCTGAGGCTTCAGCCAAGAACTTTTATGTAAGTTCCCTCCTTGGCTTTGCACAGCTCCACTCCCACAAGGAGCTGGGCACCACCAGGAACTGGCTCCTCCTTGGCTCTGCCAGGGTTTCAGCCACCACACTTTAATTAAATACCTCGATTTTATCCTTCTCCACGCTCCATTCTCTTGGACAGGAGGAAGAGGATGCTCCTGCAGCCAGGCAGGGCTCTCCAACAGTGGGAACAGCCCTCAGAGCAAACTGACCTGGAATTTTGTACCTCCAGGGCACTGACAAGGGTGGAGAGACTCACCCAGTTCCTGCTCCTATCTGAAAAATGAGGAGATAAGTCCTTATCTCACACACACACTAAAAAAATCACAGTTGTGGAATGGCTTGGGATGGAAGGAGCATCCTCTCTCCCAGGCTGCTCCAAGCCCCATCCAGCCTTCCAGGGACATTTCCAGGGATCCAGGGCAGCCACAGCTCCTCTGGGAATTCCATCTCAGCCCCTCCCCACCCTCACAGGGAAGAATTCCTTTTCTACACCCACCCTAAATTTCCCTTTTCAGCTCAAATCCATTGCTCCTGTCACTGCAATTCCATGGCTGGTCCTGGTTAAGCTCATCCTCAGAGCCAGCTACCAAATAATTAATGAAAATGATGAATAAACCACTCCCAACATTCCAAGAATTAAACCCTGTGACCTCTGTGCCACCTTCTCTCTGCACACAAACCTGAGTTGCACCCAGTCTTGTTTGAACAGTGAAATCTGCAGGGCTGGGGTTTCTAAATCCACCAAGGGCATCCAAACCCACGGCCAGGAAAAGGCAATTCCTGCTCCACCAACAGGACACGTGCTGAGGGCCGATCCATAACAAAAGGACACAAAAGCAAGCAAAGTTTGAGGTGTGAAATGGATCAAAAAAAGGTCAGGTGTGCCCAAGGGAAAACGAAAAGGAAATTAAAAGGAAAATCAAAGGGATCTCTTTGCTGGACTCCAGGGCAAGACTCCATTTCCTGCCAAATTAATACAGATTTTTTATTTGCCAGGCCACGAGCAAAGGGGGTGTTTTTAACACTCTGGAGGACATGAATAGTTAACAATGAAAGAATTTGGGAAAAAGCTGCTTTTCCACCACCAGCAGCACTCATCCCTCAGCGCCAGATGAAAATCCCACAGGAAAAAAAAATCCCATTCCTCCCTACCTCTGTCCTTAAAATGCACTTAAAATTCAGCTTCATCAGGGCTGCCCCATCCCCAGCTCCAGACAGAGAAAACAGAGTGATCCACAAATGATTGTTTATACATCCCAGAGTCCCTTGGATGGCTGGAGGCAGCAGCTGAGGCGGATTCATTACTGAAAAAGGAGCAGGAGCTCCGTGCCTGGAGTGGCAGCGCTGGCCAAACGCTGCTCCCGGGGGCTGCAGGGAAAAGGGGTCCCCTCAATCCCCCAAAAATAACTCCCCAGGATTCGAAATTCACAAAAACAAACTCCAGAGAGGTCTCCCTGCAGCTCCTGATGCACATCCGGGAGGGAATCCAAACAAAGCCCCTTCCCTGCTTGCTCCTCAGCACAGAGCAGATGGTGAGATGCACTTTGGAGGAAAAAAAGCACATTTTGGGGCAAACCCCAGGATTTGGACACTGAGGAAGCAGGATGGGCTGGCAAAGGTAGAAACATTGCCAGGAAAAGTCCACCAGGAGCCACCCAAACCCCTGTGAAAGGGAGAGGCTCCAGGGCTGAGCTGGGCACAGCACGAGCAGCAGGGTGGGGTTTTTTTTCCCCCCTCTTTCCCAATTTCCAAACAGCCCAATGTTATTTTTATCCCAGATTTTATTCCCATTCACACCTAACCTACATTCATCTATTCAAAGCTGAGTCTGGGGCTCGGAGGGAATCATGTGGAGAAATCCAGCACAGAAAGGCCACAGAAATGGCTTTTTTTTTTTTTTTTTCTGGGAAGAAGGTGGATTTTCAGCTTTCAGAGTCATTAACAGGGAAGAAACCCTTGGAGGCAGGAGATGGATGTCACTGTCACTCCAGCAGTGCCCCAAGCCACCCTGCTTTTCCTGCTGCTCCATCCCAGATGCAGAACAAAAGCAAGGACAGGCTGGATCTCAGCAGCTGGGTGATGCTGGAATCCCAGAATGATCCAGCTTGGAAAAACCCTCCAAGGTCAGCAATTCCAATCTGTGACCAATCCCCAGCTCAGAGCACTGAGTGCCAGGCCCAGGCATTCCTTGGAAACCTCCAGGGATGGGAATTCCACCACCTCCCAATGCCTGACCACTCTATTTATCAGAAAGCAGCCTATTTTCCTTGGAATAACCTTTCTTCTTCCCAAAATGATTAAACCACATGAATTTCTGGTCATTAAACACAAAATTTTCTTTGCTTTAAGAATCCCCACCCTGGTTTCTGGGAGGTTTTTTTTCTCCCCTGAGGTGCCCTGATGTGAGAACCTGCAGAATCAGGTGTGTGTGAGCTCAATATCCTGATTTTTCCAAGCTTGGATCAAGCCCTGACAAATAATTTGTGTCATTTTCCAGGGCTGGCACAGGCAGCCTGACCCTGCCATGGCACAGAACTGTTCGTTCCAGCTGCAGGAACTCTGTGGAAAAAAAAAAAAAAAAAAAAAAAAAGACCTTAATCACCTCCCACCTGAGGAAATAATTAACATCGCCCTTATTAAAATAAACATTAATGTCAAAGAAAAATCTCCAAATAAAGTAAATATCTTCATGTATAGAAAAAAAAAGAGCCAGGAATTATTATTATTATTATATTATTGCCATTTCCACCCGTTTTCCTCCAAATTTTTGCATGTTCCAATCCTTTTTTGCTCTGGGTGAGGAACTTCCATATTTCAGAAGCTCCAGAGACTCCCAAATAGAGGGGAAATAAAAAAATCCAGAGTTCTGCTTCTCAGCCCTGGAAGTGCTGCAGCAAGACCACAAGATTTGGGGTTATCTGAATTCCTCTGGAACAGCAGCTCCTTTGAATGGATGGAGTTTATAACGTCCCAGTTTTATCCAGAACTCCTCGGAGCTGAATCCGACCTCCCAGGGCGCTTCTGGTTTGGAGAGCTGGCTCTGATCCTCACCTGGAGCCACGGATTCCTTTTTGTAGGGCAACCAGAATTATCTCCTCACAATAACCCTAAAAATACCTGCATTGTACGAGCTGAATGAATGATTTCTTCGAAGGGGACAGTCACAGCCAGCCCAAACCAGAGCCGGGATGAAGCAACGGAGCCATTCCCAGCAGCAAATCTGTCCCTGCCTCATCAACTCCCAGGAGTAACACCCAAAATTTGAGGCCACGCTGGGAGAAGCTGGCAGGCCCTGGGGCTGAGCAGAAGCCAGGTGCATTTAAGGCTAAAAAAAGCAGGTGACAGCTCTGTGTATGGAAATGCAAACACAAACAGAGCACAGCCCCGGCCGCGCTCACGGCTCCCACGGAAACACGGGACACTGAGCCAAGAGGCTCAAAATCCACACAGACCTAAGGCCAGCCAGGAATTTCCAAGGAAATATCACAGAATCACAGGATGGTTTGGGTGGGAAGGGACCTTCAAGATGGACTTGGCCACTTCCAGGGATGGGGCAGGAACAGATTTTTTGGGAAAACCACCCCAGAGCCTCACCACTCTCAGAGGGAAGAACCAGACACTGCAACCTTACAGCTCCCTGAACTGTGCTCACTGCTCCCTAAAACCTTTGGGATAGCAGGTGATTATCCTGGTTCTGCTGGGAATTTGGCCAGTAAACAGAGGGAGGCCAGGACCAACCAAGGTGCCTTTGCTGAGGATTCCCCAGCAGAGCTGAGGGCCAAGGTTTTGCCCTGACTGCCGATTCCTGAGGTGGTGGTGATGGTCCCACGAGGTGGAGCTGGAACTCTGCTCCCGCTGGAGCCGGGCAGGATTAAACCCAGGAGGGTTTAATTAGAACAGAGGCGACTTAAGCCACACCAGGCACCAGCTCCCAGGCAGCAGAGCTGCTCACAAAGCCCTCCAGGCATGGCAGCCAGGGCTCCTCACACCCCACATCCTGCCCTGACTCCGCAACGAAGCTGAACCCAGACCTGGATCCGTGGTGTTGGTCTGGCTCCTGCCCCCACCAAGGCTCCCCGTGGATCAGAGACCTCAAAAATACTCTCAGTGGGCACCCTCAGGCTCCCTGAAGTGATAAAATCCACATTTGCTTGCAAGGCCCATCAAGTTTCCAGCTCAGATTTGGCTCCCGATGACCGGCACTGATGCGGATTTTCCTGGGATTGTCATTGAGCCAATCAGTCCAGAGCCGAGTCCTCTGCCAGGGATGTGGGCTCTGGACATCACCGAGTGCCAGCTCACCAAGCAGAGCCCAAAAACCTCCAATTCCAGCCTGCAAGTCCTCTCTCTTTGAGACCCTCCAGCTCTACAAACTTTCCAGAGGTTAAAAATCAATGTATTCCCAGAAAATCATCACTCAACAAACCTGGTGTCTCACTCTCATCAGTGGGATTCCAGGGAGTTGCTGCAAAGCCTGAGGAAAAAAAGGAAAAAAGGAGGAGGAAAAAAGGAGGAGGATGAAAAAGGAGAAGGAAAAAGAAAAAAGAAGGAGGAAAACGGGGAGGAAAAGAGGAGGAAAAGGAGAAGGGAAAAGGAGGAGGGAAAAGAAGGAGGGAAAAGGAAGGAGGGAAAAGGAAGGAGGGAAAAGGAAGGAGGGAAAAGGAGGAGGGAAAAGGAGGAGGGAAAAGGAAAAATAAGGAGGAAAACGAGGAGGAATAAGCCTGAGGAAAAAAAGGAAAAAAGGAGGAGGAAAAAAGGAGGAGGATGAAAAAGGAGAAGGAAAAAGAAAAAAGAAGGAGGAAAACGGGGAGGAAAAGAGGAGGAAAAGGAGAAGGGAAAAGGAGGAGGGAAAAGAAGGAGGGAAAAGGAGGAGGAAAAGGAGGAAGTTTAGAGCAAACAGCTGTAGCTACTTTAAAAAAAAAAGTGAGCTCCCCAAAGGAGCAGGGAGGGGATTCCTAGATGTCAGCAGGCAGGGAAATTCACCACCTGTTTGCCAAGGTTCCAGCTCGGCCACTAATAGCTCATTAATGGAGGCACAGCAGGGGTTTTGTGGAAAAGGCAAATCCCGGGAATGTGAACCCGACCCTGCCACGGCTCCCAAGGGGCTTCTGGATCCCATTTCCAACCTGCTCTAAGCAAACACAACTCCGTGTCCTTCCAAGATCTCGCTCCAGGGAACAGGCTGATCCATGTGGGAATCCTGGACAAAGCAACCCCAGAAATATTCCTGCTGGAGCAGGCAGTGTGTGCAAAAGTGGTCACAGCATGGATAAATGGGAAATGTGAGCACAAAATGATGGATTTTGACACAATCAGGGCCTTGGTTTCTCTTCTCTTGCCATCTCAGGCCTCAAACCCTCACCCTGAGTGGGATCCTCGCTGGATCCAGCTGCTGTGGATAAAATATTCCTTGCAAGGTGCCTATTCCCAGGTTTGGGAATATCTGTACCCACACATCACCTCAGACCACACCGAGGTGCTGATGGTCCAAAGGGAGCTGCAAAAATTCCTTTCAAAGGAATTCAAACCTTCCCAGTGGCCACCCTGGACATCAGCCAGAGCAGTTCTCTTGCAAACCAAAAAGCAGTCCCCCAAAAAATTGGGATAAATCAGTCCCAGTGCTGCTTCCAGAGCAGCCTCCCAGAGCTGCACATGCCAGGGATGCAGCAGGATGAGAGGAGCCTACAGCTACTGCTGAAGCAGCAATTCCAGCCTCTGTGCCCTGGTCACTCTTCCTCCAGGAAACCCTCGTGGTATTTTTCCAAGACATCACCTTTGGGATAATATTCTGTTTGAGAAGCCATTTTACCACATCTTGCTATGCTCAGCAGCTGATAAAAGGGAATATTTTGTGGAGCAATCTAGGTTGGCACTGCTTCTTCCTGTTCTCCTGAAATTCACTCTGAACCACTCGGGAAATTTGTCCTGGGAAATCCTCTTTGGAGCAGGGTAAGTGCATTAAACTCTTATTTTAGAGGCCCACCATGCCAAAAGGAACCCCCAGGTGGAAGACTGGTGGAGAATTTTGGAGAAACTCATCAGGGAGATCCCAGTCAGATGAGATCCCAGAACCCCAGAAAGGTTTGGGTTGGAAAGGACTTCAAGGATCACCTCATCCCACCCCTGCCCTGATGCTCCCACCAGGCAGGAGTGAGGCTTTGTTTCAGAGGCTGGAAAATCAGGAGAACAGCCCGGAAAGCCCAACATTCCTCCTCCTCCTCCTGCCAGGAAAATCCTTAAAATCTGCACTGAGATTTCCTTTTCTTTAGAGCATCCACCCTCCATCCTCCACCTCACTCTGCCCCATGCTATCACTCCCTCTGCCCCATGCCTGCTGTCCTGAGGGGCTTTCACAGGATATCTGATGATTCCCATCCCTGGAAGTGTCCAAGGCCAGGATGGATGGGGCTTAGAGCAACGTGGGATAGTGGAAGGTGGAATGAGACAATCTTTAAGATCCTTTTCCAACCCAAACCGTTCCAGGATTCCACACCTGACCCGGCTCTCCAGTGCCACTGGAAATGTGCCCCTTTGGCAGGGCAATCCCAGCCTCCAGGAGCCCCTGGGAGCCAAGCCCTGCATTATGGGATAACTGTGATGCCTTGACGTGGCCTGTTCCCTCACTCCTGCTGCTTAATGATGTCGGATTCCATTAGGATCCGAGCCATCCCCTCCCGTAAACACGCCCGCCGGCCCCGCGCTGCCCCGGCGGGATCGGGCAGGGAATACCTGGAAAACTGGCCAAGCTGGGAAGGATCCCGGACAAATATAGATCCCCAAGGAGTATCTTTAGATTAGCAGGCAGCTCTGCCCCCACTGAGACCCCAGGATTTACCTAAATAGCTCCTTCAGCACAGCCCAGCGCTCTGAGCTATTTTAAGCCAGCACCCTGCCCTACTTCCTAAGGAACAGCCTTCCCTTCTCCTGCCTGTGCAGCCAGAGCAGCCCCAAACCCACTGCTCTCTCCACTCTGGCACCTTTCATTAAATAAAAAAAAAAATACCCTCTTGCCACGGTATCCAATTAATCTGGGTTCGTTTATTGCCACGAGGCCCTTCACAGCCTCGAGCAGGGTAAATGGGATTAACCTTTCCCAGGCTGATAGGCAGAAAAATAACATTAAACAGGGGAATCCTGAGGAGCACGAGCTTCCCCCTGCCCTGCCCACCTGCAGCACCCACCTGAAGCAGCTGCTGGTATTCCAAGAGGGAAGGGATAAATCCCAGCCCAATCCATGTGCCCTGATGCTTTATCACTCTTCCCCAATGGTGTTTTGTGCCCAAGGCTGGGTTTGGGGTTTGCCACCAGCATTTCTGTTAATTAGCACATTCATTAGCATGTTCATTAGCCAGCAGAGCATCCCTGTATCCCAGCATCAGAGATCTGGCAGTTTGAGCCCAAAATGAGGCAGCTCTGGCTCTGTTTGGGGCATCCCAGGAACACTCTGGAGAGGAACAGCTTCTGTCATCCCAAGATATTTGCCTCTGCACTTGTTTTTGGGATGAAATGCCACAAGATCCAGCAAAATCAGCCCAAACCAGCCCCTTTTCCCAGCACATCCCATTGATGGATAACAAAGCATCTTTCCTGTTTGTATATAACAATAATAAGAATATTGGAATTACCTGGTCAAGTTTGGGTTTTTTTTTCTGGAAACCCCCCCAAAATACCACGTTCCCAAGTAATTCCATGGGATCCCACGGGGTTCCTGCTTTAAGGACTGCCTCACCCCACACCTCCTTGAGCTCTGTCCAGCCAAGTTGCTGTATTATGACACAACTTGCTTTTTAGGGATCCCCCTCCACGTCTTGACCCTGGTGGCATTCACACTTTTCCCTTGGCATCCCAAGGTCCGAGCACATGGACCTTGGCCTTTATTCCATTTTTAGCCATTTTCAGAGCTCCTTTTCCCCCTAGGTATCCTTTAATTCCTGCAAGACATCAACACTAAACAAGCCAAACCAACCAGTGAGTTTAAAACCCCATAATCTCCTTTAAATTTAAGATTTTCCTCAACTAAAAAGCAACTTTGACTTTCGTATCGGCGCTTGCTCCGTGATGAAAACTCCCAACACCTCCCAACCTGGAGAATATCCAACACTCGAGCTCCCAGAGTTGTAGATGATATTAAAAACAAGGTGGGAAGAAAGCTGCACATTTTTCATCCCCCAAAAGCATCTTCAGGCAGAGAGATGAACTGGAACAGCCTCTGAACTCTCTGAGGAGGCAGCGATGGAGCTGAGCCTGGGTTTGGGCTCCCCAGAGGCTGCAGGAACAAATCCCGTGGGATTCTCTCCGTGCCTCCAGCAGCTCCAGAGGCACACAGCGAGGAGGGAGAGGCTCCTCGGGTGTCATCCCACCTGGGCTGAGGGTGGAGGTGTCACTGAGGCTATGGGATGTTCCCAAAAAACCTTGGCTGGGTGTGAAACAGGTCAGTGAGAGCACGGAATCGTGGATTACGGAATGGGGTGGGGGATAAGGGGCCTTGAAATCACCTCATTCCACCCCCTACCCCACTATCATTCCACACCTCCCACTGTCCCAGGGTACTCCAAGCTGGCCTTGGGCACTTGCAGGGATCCAGGGGCAGCCACAGCTGCTCTGGGAATTCCATCCCAGCCCCTCCTCACCCTCCCAGCCAGGAATTCCTCCCCAGTATCCCATTTACACCTGTCCTCTGACAGTGGGAAGCCATCCCTTGTCCCAAGTCCCTGTCCCTGCTGAAACACATCAGGGAGGTTCCCACACAAAGTGGACACTGAAATTTCAGGGGTTTAAAATTCCCACACACACTTTTAATGTCTTCCATTTGGGAAAAAAACAGACTGGACATGGAGAAAGGTGCCTGAAAGTCCTTAAGAAAGGACAGCAAAGCACAAATAGGGAAAACCCACCCCTTCCCTTCACAGCTTTGGCCACAGCACCAACCCCAGCTTTACACCACAATTCCTGGGATGCACCCTTCTCAGAAAAGCAGGAAACCACTTCAGGAATCCCAGCCAGGCACTCTGGGGCAGGGTGGGAATTAGGGATGTCTGTGACTTCCAACATCAGCTCCAAAAAGAGAGCACTGGATCCCAGCTGCTCCCGGCCCAGCAGCTTCCCAACATTTTGTCCGTGATACACAAAATAATAACACACAGATAGAGAAAAATCCCAGTGGATTATTTGCTCTGGTGTCTAAATACCAATATCCCAGGTTTCTAAAGGATCTGTCATGGATGGAACTGGACACAGCTCTGTTTCCCTGAGGATTTTACACCTTCTGGCAGGAAGAATGGAGAAGCACACAAAATTCAACCAAAAAAACGAGCACAAAACTCAACCAAATACAACCAAAAAAGCTCTGCAGGTTTCTTTTAAACACCCCGAGCTCCAGGATCCATCCACTGCAGCAGCACCATTCCCACCTGCCTGAATAATGTGGATTTTGTAGGATGTGGATCCATCAATCCCATGGATCCACCAGGTAATTCAAGCCAAATTTTGGGCTGATGCAGACAGCCAGACTCCCTAATTCCTCAGATTTCCACCAGAACCTTCCTTTGGAGACCAAAATTTGGACATTAACAGTCTCCATCACCATCAGTTTCCTGCAAAAGCTGCACTACAAAGAGCAATTCTTGCCTCAAAATTTGAGATATTAATAAAAAGGAACTCCTGAAAAATCCCAAAATGGGAGATTTTTAAAAAAGCCATTCCTGACCTACCCCAAAAGCCAAGATTTCAGTTAAAAATTTTCCTGAAGCACCCAAAAATTGGAGATTTTCAAAAAAGCAATTCATGGCCTATTTACTAAATTTTAATACGCCAATTCATGGCCTATTTATTAAAATTCAAGATTTTAATAAAAATCTATTCTTGACACACCCCAAAATTTGTGATTTTAATCATGAAGCTCTCCCAGTACAAGTTTTAGCTCAAAACTGTATTTCCTCTGACTAAACATAATTACAGTTAAGGCGTTCTGCAGGGCCCAGGAGATGTAAATATATAGGTTAAACATAGTTAAAATTCCACATCCTACTTAATTGCAGGCATTTTCCACGGAACAAAATGAGCTTTTATCTTCACTTTTTAATTATTAATAACCACGAACAATGTCACCACCTTTAAACAATAACCCTGGCCTGAGAAGGAGATATTTCTCCCCAGATTTCCACAGGCACTGAGCGCACCTGGGGCAATAAGAAGCAATCTTTGGGAGGATTTTGGAGCGATTTTGGAGAGAGCAGGCCCTGAGCCTCCACCCCACCTGGACAGGGATTAACGACAGCAATTAGCAGGATTTTTGTGGGGTTGCCAAACCCCTGAGAGGGACCAGCAGGATCCCTGACAGGGATTCCCGGGATCTGGAAGCCCCAGGAGCGGGGAGAGAGCCTGGATCCGGCCGACTCAGCTGAATCATAATGGCTGCATTGCCATTACCTTTCCCGAACAAGGCCAACCTAAACACAGGCAGCTGCCTGGGATTTAGCAGGAGATTTACGGACAGCAGAGACCTACAAATCACCACGGCACACGCACGGCCCGGGGAACACCCCGGATCCCCCCAAATCTGTGAGTGCTTTGGGATTATTCCCATTAAAAATAAAAAACCCTCCCACCGTGGAGCTTCCCCGAGCCCGAGGGGCCTCCACGCTCCGGCTGCCACCCGGATCCCCTTTCCCTGGGTTTGAGGTTATTAACATCAAACATGTGATCGGCCACATGACAGGCTAAAGGCTAAAAAGGAAAAAAAAATATATAAATAAAGAAATAAATAAAAAAATCGCTTGGACGCGTTCAGAGGGGAAGGGAGAGATGGCAGCGTGGTGGGTACACCTCCATGGCCGTGGATTACAACCATTCCTGGGAAATCGCTGCTTTCCAGCGGCCCGGAATGATGGAAGCCATGGCGGGAGGAGCTTTAATAACGGGGTGATTGTGTAACTTGGAGCCTCCCGGCGAAAGTTGAGGCACCCAGTGGATGTTCCCGGTGCATGGGGACGAGGATGGCACCGGATCAATTAGGGCAGCGAAATGTGCATCCCCCCAAGCCTCCTCCTCCTCCTCCTCCTCCCGATCCAGGAGTTTCTCCGCTAACGTATTTCTCTCCTCATTAACTGCTTCGGTGTCTTCTGCTCTTTCCAAAATAGTACCTACTATAACGGGGCCGCAGAGGGGGCCAGCTGGCACCCGCCGCGGGGCATCCAGACACGGAGCAGGGATTTGGGGGAGGAAAGACACGGGGAGCTGGCGGGATGAGGGCAGGGAGGGCTCTCATCCCCCCCTTCCCCCAGATCCTCAGGGGAACTCCAGTTCCACCCAAAAGGAGGGGCTCAGCGCCCCACTCTAGGGGTGAGGATCCTGGGGGTGTGATGAGGCCCAGGCCGGGATGGGGATTCCCCCCCTCCCACCAGAAGGGATGTCCCCTGCTGTCACCCCTCCTTGTCACCCCCAGGCAGGCAGCACCGCTGTGCCCACGGTCCCCATCCCACAGAATGGAGGGAGGGGGCTGCATCCTCTTGGACCAGCGGGGGCTAAAAATGCCCCCCTCACCCCTCAGCGCAGGCGCCCCCCACCAACCAGAGATGCCCCCCAAGCCAAAGGCCCCTCAGCTCCTCTGCAGAGGTTTCTGACCGAACAGCAGGTGTCCCCCCAGCCCGACCCCCCCATCAGGGCTCTCCCTTATGGGGGCTGTCCCACTGGACCCCCCCTCCAGCTGCTCCAGGCCTCCCCCTCCCCTCTCTCTTGGGGATGACCCCCCCAAACCACGCTCTCCCCCTGATTTTCCAGCCTCCCCCCAGCCTGGGGGTGCCCCCCAATCTCCCGCCACTCAGGGGATGACCTCCCCTAACGGGGGTCACCCACCAGAACACCCCCTCCTGAGCACTCCAGGGACCCCAGCCCCCAGGGCCCTCCTTTAACGGGGGTGCCCCGCCAGAACAGCCCCCCAAAACCACGCTGCCCCCGCCCTTTCTCGGTTCTCCCCCAACCTGGGGACCCCCCCTCAAACCAGGCTCCCCCCCCAGAACAGGTTCCCCTCACCCAAACCAGGCATCCCCCTCCCTTTCTCCGGGTTTCCCCAGCCGGGGGGGCTCCGCTAAGCTGGGGACCCCCCCCAAACCAGGCATACCCCCATATTTCTCGGGAATATCCCCCTAAACCAGGCTCCCCCTCCTCCCATACCACCCTCCCTCCCTCTCCGTTCTCCGGGCTCCTCCAACCTGGGGACCCCCCAAATGAGCCTCCCTCCCTTTCTTCGGGCTCCCCCACTGTGGAGACGCGCCCCTTTAACCACGCGCCCCCCTTTTCTGGGGGCTCCCCCAGCCTGGGATCCCCCCTAAAACCACGCTTCACCCCCCCCTTCCTCCGGCCTCCCCCAAACCAGGTGCCCCCCCACAAACCAAGCATACTCCCCTCCCTTTTCTGGGGGCTCCCCCAGCTTGGGGACCCCCCAAACCTTGCTCGCCCCTCATTTCTCGCGGCCCCCCTCCGCCGAGCCCCCCCGCGCCCCCCGCGCAGGCAGGGGGCGCCCTCGCCGCCCCCTCACCCTTGACGATGCGCTCGGTGGTCGGCAGCTTGTTGTGGCCGCGCCCGGACATGGTGGCGGCGGCGGCACCGCTCCCCGCCGTGCCCCGCTCCGCTCCCCTCACCCGGAGCGGGGGCCGCGCGGGTGCTCCCGGCGGACCCGCTGGGCTGCCCCGGCGGCGGCTCCGCGGCGCTGCGCTCCCCCCGTCCCGCCCCCGCCGCCGCCGCC